CAGAACATCCAAAAAAACAATGTCTAGTGTGTTATTTACCTTTCCTCTGCTAGGGTTTGTACATGAGACCTCACGGTTGTCAACCCACAAAGCCACACCCTTGGGCACAAGAAGCATATAACATATTAGAATAAGGTAATAAACAACGCCTAACTTATGGAGATATAGATGAGACTTAATTAGATAAGCAGAACTGAATTATGAGCCAAATGGCTTTATTACACAAAACAAGACCACACCACAGAGTCCAAAAGATAAACAAGCAAAGAGGTAAGTATACTCTTTAACTTTTAGTCTTTACCAATCTTGATGTGAGCTATATCCAAAATGGGAAAAAATATGCATTATAGGCATCAAAGGGTGTGATCTAGCGGTTTCAATGAAGATGATGACAACCACGGAAGATCATCAGGGTTCAAATCCTAGTAGAGACGGAAAAAAACACTAGCCATACTTCCCATCTTGATTATTTAACCACTCCTAGCTTCCAATACCAATTTCTTCCATGTTTAATATAACACAAAGTTAAAGTATCATCATTAATACTTCTGATAAGTAACACAGCCTTTTAATACATTTCTATAACTATTTAACTGCTATTGAGAGAGACCATCCAATTAAAGGAGGAAATTATATCACTTCCACTCATTTATCCAAAAATATAAAATACAAAGCCAAAATAGGAGCAAAAACCTTCACTTTTTTGAAACCAAACACAATCTTACTACAACTAAAAGCTCATTTTTAAAGAAAAAAAGGAAGTAGAAAGGGTAGAAACAACAAAAAACAGAAAAAAGTATTCACTCAGTGCCCTTTTAGTTGTAAAGTCAATTTGACTAATTTACAAAGTTAAATTAGATTATATATAAATTTGACATTTAGACTAAAAATTTAGATATTCAAAAAATATAGAAAAAGTACTATAAATTACAATCTTTTGTATATATCAATATACATGAAAAAATTATCGTAAAATACTAGTCAAATTTTTTATCTTTGACTGAAAAAAAAAAGAAACCATGACACAAGAAACAGAAGTTGGCATTCAACAATTTTACAAATTCTTGAAAAAAAAAGGGGTAACAAGTAAAGTCCTCATGAAACTGATTTTGCTCTCTTTGAAGAACAAAGAGAGCAAAATCAGAAGCAAATTATCAAAGAAACCTAAAAAGATCACAACTTTGGAAAGATTAATAAACAACAAAGAAAGGGGTTAATGCAATTTTACCAGTATGAAGAACTACAGAAGTAGTGTCAGTTTTGCTTGCTGATTTCTGTTTCTATTTGATCAGAGAAGAAAAGGGAAAGCTAAGAAGTATAAAATGTGAAAGAGGGGTGCGGAGTAATCAAGAAATAGTGCCATTGATGCCTTTTCTCACTCTACTGTCACTCTAATATTTGGCTTAATACAATTTTGTCTCTGTGTTTCATTGGAAAATGGATTGGCATTTTGTGATAGGAGTAACGGAAGAGGAAAGGTTTTTAAAACAAAATGACAAAAACAGAAAGAGCAAAAAGAAAAAGCATACTGCAAACTTGCAATTAATCAACTCTGACGTTATTTTACTCACAAAATGATAATAGTGGTGTCTTGTATGTTCAAAGGGAGGGTCAAAATACTAGTTTGTCTTAATTTATATATATGACCGTAATTTGATTTGATAAGAAATTTAAGAGTATTTGTGTGTTTATAAATTATTTCATTAAAAGTGTGATGTTTCAATTATTATTGAAATATTTTATTTTATTTTTAGTATATTATACTTTTAATTTAACACATTAAAAGTTGAATATTTACGTAGAAATTAGAATAAATTTATCATAATGTACTATTTATTTAGTTATATTTCATCAATAATTTTATTTTTATTTGAATTATTAATATGTATAATTAGGACTGTGTATCGGTCGTCTCGATTCAGTTTAAGTTATCGATTTTATAGACATGTTAAACTGTTATAAAATTATTCAAAAAATGATTTATCGGTTATTGATCGTTATCAATTTAGTTATTGGTTTAATCATTAAGATCTGACATAAAAACTAATAATTGAAAATCACTTAAAAACAAAGTGACAAACCAAACAAACCATGTACATGAGTTGACAGATTGCATATTGATACATTATAGAATAATGAAAGTTTGAGACAACTAGAAATAAAAGAATGAAACAAAACCCTAAATCAAAAACTTTATATACATAATGATATAAATCACCAATTTGAATGCTAAGATCATACTAAATTTTATCATAGCAAATGTGCAAATAAATTTAACTGTCTACATGATTAGAAGGATGCATCCAAATATTTTTTACTTTATTAAGTAAAACTAGGGGAAATTAAGAGCACCCAACCTCAGTACCCTCTTCTAAAAAGGATGTAATGTAATGAGGAATAGGACTCAGAAGAACCAACAACTAACTACATAATTTTATGCCACATTTGCAACATCTATATGCGAGAAAATAGTCAAATACCCTCTTAATCTATTATTAAATTTCCAACTACACACTTATGCTTCATGAGAGTTCTATTACCACCCTAGACTATTTTAAAACGGAATAATTACACCCTTAGATGCTGATATGACACAGAGAGTGTCCTTACTCTCTTGGAGGCATGTGGAAGTCAGAAGAATTGGTAAACAATATTATAATTGTATTTTTAATTTAACTTTTTGTTAAATATATGTTTCTTTTTACTTTTCTCTTTAAGTTTTTTGTTTCTTTTTTTCCCCCCTCTCTTTCTCATTACTCAACATTCACCCAAACCACCATTTCCTCCCCCCTTGAACCACCATCACTGCACTGACCACATTGTTTTTTTTATCCATTTTCTAATATATTTTTTACAATTTGCTTCACTAGTTTCTACAACTAACGCTGCAAATCATCATTAAAATCATCAAATAATCTTAAAATTATTACTTATATTGCTGGAAAAATCTAATTTTTCTTAATTATCTCACTATTCCAAAAAAAATAAAAATTCACAGAGTAAAGACCAAAAAAAACCAGAAGAAGAAAGATAGGAGAAACAAAACCAAAATAAATAAATAGAATTATTAAACACCTTCCATCATAAAAATTCATTCTATTATTGAATTTTTTTTAATTATTGGAGAATTTCAGTTAATTAAAACAATTATGACTATAAAATAAAAAATTTCGATCATCAATTTCATAAAACAAACTAAACATGAGTTTTGGGTATATGATCTGGGTCATCCATCTTTTTTTTCATTTTTATCAATCTCAAGTTAGTTCAAAATATCAACACCATTAATCTACCTTGTCACCGATTTTGGGTCAGTAACATACATCAACCATAAGATCTTATCTTCAATCTCTATTGTTGTTTGGTGAAGACCAAAAATTTAACCATCGATAATTCGTAAATAAAATATTACAAATTTGGTGTCATGGAAACAAAGAAATAACATAATAAAAAAATTCAAAAAAAGAAAAGAGATGAGTAATCAAACTTGTCAAGGTGCCTGAAGGATGCTATAAAGTGATGAAAAAATGATAATAAAAATAGCTTCGATTTTTTTCCGTGGATGAGTGATTTGGAAGAAGGGAATGAAAACAAAAGAAAAAAGAAGAAGAAGAAGGAGGAATAAAAAGAGTATACATATTTTTGTAATTAATGAAAAAAGGGATAAAGAGAAAAAAATAAATATAAATAATAAAAATAACAGCTGGAGCAAGTGTGCATCACTAGATGTTGAGAATGTGATTGTCTAGTTTTAGGGTGTTATATATTTTGTTTTTAGAAAGTTCAAGGGGGTAATAGGATCCCCACAAAGTATAAGTATGTAGTTGAGAATTTGATAATAGGTTAAGGAGGCATTTGTCTATTTTCTCTCTATATGCTCTTTTTGTTTCTTTATACATTTCTATCCTCTCTTCAGGTTCCCATGTAATTTGCCTTCACTGTGTCTATGTGCATATTCATATGCAATTAGTCTTTCCTTAGTGTGTAGTCTGTCTATTAAGAACTGCAATCCACATGATGAACCTCAAACTAGGCAATAACATAAAATTTCAAACTAATTCAACTTAGCTTGGTTGCATATCAAATTCAGATAGCCACTTGTGATTGAATAGTAGTAAGAATGAATTGTCCTTGTGTGTACCAATGTTGCATCCTATCTTTAAAGATACAGTTAATTTTCGTCCAATACAAATTACTGTCTGTTGGTGCTCTATGAATTAAATTATGTCTACCTCTTAGATGTGTGGGGTTTCCCTAAGTATCAAATGGGAAACCCCTTTGTGTGAAACCATTAGTATCTACAAGTTGTTGTTTCACCTATTCAGTTATGGCTGAACTTTTCCATGTTGGCCAAAAGTCCAATTGCAATATTGAAATGAACTAAAGCTTCCTGAACTTTAGATACAAATTTGATATCTCTTTTGCAGAATAACATGACATCATTTGCAAAAATAAAGTGGTTCTGCCTAGGAGCTTTACATATAAGATTAAACTACAAGTTTGAGAAATAGCTCACGCTTTTGAGGAACCATGAATTAGTAAAATATTAGTATTATTAGATATGATAAATAATTTAAGAATTTGAAAAACTCACATAACAGAAATTGTTACTGTTGTAGGTGAAGGATCTATGCAAATTTTCAGAAAACAAATCTTTAATTAATCAATGAATTGGAGAGAGTATCATTCCATATGAAGTTGCATTTAATAAAGATGAAGCTTATCTGATCTCTAATTTGCTTACCTTCTTTATAGAGGGAAGCAGAAGATACACAAGTGTTTAAATATTTTACTCAACACACCCTGAATGTTGATGATGAGCTGAAAAGGAATTAAACGTTGGTCCCTCGAAATTTGCCCCGACAAAATATATGAATCAAGAAGCATGATATAATAATCCTTCCATTCAAGGAGCAGAGAAGAACAGAGAGAATTAAAAAGATATCATTATTAGTTCCCTTGAACAGAGACATTAAATCATAAAAAGACAGTTGTGCAAGTAAATAAAATTGTCTACTCTTCCGCTTCCTCCTTTATGTAATTAACTTTTTCCTTTCCTTTTGTGCTTGCCTATTCCAAGTCCAAGTCCATCCATGTAAGTTGAGTGTTTTCAGACACCAAATTTTCCCCTTTTCCGACTATCCACTCATCCATGGAGTCAACAACATCCTCTGCAATATCATTTTCTCCTTCGGGATCAAATGCCTGCAATTGCAAATTACAATGGACAAATACCAAGTCACTCAGCCTCTGCTGCTCTATCTGATTCCTCCCTTTTCTATGCAATGTCTCAACCAAGCTCCTTTTCAGCCTATAATGTGAAGCACCATTGCACGTCTGACTAAGGATCCGAACAGCAAGCCTTTCAAGTTCGGGAAACTCAACTTCATATTTTGACCACCAATGTCCTGCAAACATAACACATATATATATTAAAACACACATTAAATAAAAAAATTAAAGTATAAAATATTGTACCAACCTGGGGAAATATCTGATAGAATCTCTTTGGAACTTAAAAAATCAAATGTGCCAATTTGCTGTGTGATCAAATCCTTTATACGACGATCTTCTGCCATGCCAGTAATACAAGAGCAAAGACCATCGGAAATCTTCACATTAAGGCACCAATTACTTGAATGAAAAAAGGTTGGGTTCAAATAGTAACCCGCGTCATGGAGAGGACTGTGCAGATATTTGTTCCATGTGTCATCTATCGCATTCCAGATTTTTGCATGACAGAATCTCGTGCGTTCGAACTCCTTTCTGACGGTTTCTTTAGCTTGATCAAGTGTATCATGTATAAAACCAACTTGTGCCTTATTAGTACCATTCAGAAACTTTATAACTTCCACAAGCGGAATGGTTGCTTTTACAGCCATCAAAGCCTCAGTCCAAAATGATTCATCTTTAATCATTTCGGACATTCCTTTCCCCTCACTCGTAGAAGCCAAGAGTGAGGTTTGCCAAGTAGACGACTGAAACATCCTAATTAACCCGTTTTTCTGTGAGATGATGTTTCCCAGAGTCAAAAAAGGCACAATTGCCTTTATTTTGGAAGACTTTACAAGCTCGACCTCAGGGAAAGCATCTCTTAGAAGCTTCAGGACCGTAGCATGGCTGTAGATAAATTGGACCAACATTTTTGTCTTCTTCAACGCTTCTTCTATCCAGCCTATCTTTGTTACTTCCTGTAACATCAGTTCCATACAATACGAAGCATCTATGCTCCAAAACACTGTCTTGCATTTGTCCATCAATTTCTTGCCTGCTTCCATCATCCAATCAGATGTCGTGTATGCAACAATTTGGACGACATTTTCAACTCCAACTTCCTCCAGAATCTCCTCGAGAAATAATAGCATGGCATCGAAATTCCTACTGAAAGATGATATATCTGAAGATCGAAGATAAATGGTACCCCTCGGGCAGTACACTAGGACATCAAAGTCGATTCCTGCTTAATAAAAAAATCTCCCTATAGATTTCGAAATCTCTTGTGAGGATTGAAAACTCTTCTTAGCAAGAATCTCAGCATTAAATGCTTCTTTCACAGGCGTAGGAACCTCCGAGCAAGGAGTTACATTTCCACGAATACCTGCTAAGTGGAGCTTAAGCCTATGAAAGCCAGAAACAATTTTAGCACAATCCTTGCACCTAGCTTTAATTGACTTATAATTCTCATCAAGTACTTCATCACCATGATCGCGAATATTAATTCTCATCTAAGTCACATTAACCAATGATTCTTTTCTACCTTCTACCATGAAATCTTCCATAAGATCTACATCAACTTACTATTCCTTAGTTAACACCTGAACACATATCACCTCAATTCTAACTTAATGGATACTTAATTTCTATATATAAATATATATACTACACCTTGATAATTCATTATAACATACCCTAATTGGGATACGGTACCTGGAACCAATTCGTTCGTAGGTCACTTTGCACACATAAGAATGAACCATAACACATAGCACATATAGGACACCACTCGGTTCAAGCTTTATATACTTACAAAGGACGATTCAGATTCAAATAATAAAGTTGCGAGGTGTTACAATATCTCCCCCTTGGAATCATTTGTTTTCCAATGAAGATCAAAACTAGAATAGACATGTGACTTGTAACATCTCGCAAATTGAAATAACTAAGAAGAAGTTAAAGAAATGGAAAGAGTCATTTTTGGAAAGAATATAAAAATCTGGAAATTTGTTAAGTATGTTAAGTTGAGTTTTTGGTCAACTTCAAATGACCATAACTCCTAGCTCAGGATGATATAGGCATGTTTCCTGGTATCGTAGGAAAGATCTTGGATTAATCTTTCCAACTCCGCCAAGTTTGCGCGATTCCGAGTTCGTATGAGTGAGATATCCCCTTTGGAAGTTGGCTGTTTGAATAAGGAAAGTCTAATCCGGATTTTTTTGAAGGGTAGTTTAGTATTTTCCTTACTCAATTAATTAAATCCGTTTTTAGTAAATTATTTGGAGTCTAAACTCTAAACTGAGTTAGTTCAGTTTACGCAATTAAGAAATACGCTAGGGCTTTGCGAGAAGAGAAAAGAGGAGAAAGGAGAAGAGAAACTCAAGATTCGTCAAGTTCTTGCGATTTTGATTGTGGAATTCGCCAAGGATTCGATCCTACAGAGTATGTGAGACTTTCATAGCATTGGGTTTGTTCACCCACGCGCCAAACATGTTTAGTTCAGCGAAATTCGTTCTAAAAAGGTTGAAAGTTTGATGTTCTTGATATGTATATCTTGAATTCGTTTTTGTTTCTTGATTAATTGGGCTGAATTGAGAAGTTTCTGAGATCTTTACATTGAGTTTTAGAGTTGTTTTGAGTTAGGTTCTTGGGTACATATGTTGGTATCTGAATGTAAAAAGAATTTGAGAAAAATAGTCTAGTTTAGGAGAATTGGGGCCAGAAAACGAAGAAGGAAAAAGTCGAGCAGGTTTTGGCACGTCGCGGACTTGCTCCCCCAGTGAACAAAAGTCAGCTCCGCATCGCGGTTAGGACACGGACTCTTCTGTCTCAAAATTAAATTTCACGATCAAATATTTAAATGCAACTCCGCGTCGCGGACTTGTTTCCAAACAGTGTTTTCTTGATCTTTTCTCATGTTTAGCTATCTAAAAACACTCCTAAACATCATGAGATTGTTCCTATCACAAATCACAATCCTTGAATCTATAATTCAATTCAAGTGAAGTTAAGAGTCAAGTTAAGAGAAGTTTTTCAAAAGTCTTTCTGTAACATCCGGTAATTTGAAATATCTATGAAGAGGCTTAAAAATCGAAAATAGTCATTTTTGGAATAAAAAAATGAAAATCTGGAAAATTGGCTAAGTGTGGAAATCAGTGAGTTTTTGGCCAACTTTGAGCGGTCATAACACCTAGCTCAGTATGTGTTAGGCGTAGTTCCAGTTATGTTTGGAAATCCCTTGGAATGATCTTTCCAATGCCACCGAGTTTGATCAATTCCGAGTTCGTATGAGTGAGTTATGACCTTTGAAAGTTGGGCAGTTGGCAGGGAATCCGTCCGGAAATTTAAGGGCATTTTGGTCTTTTCACAAATCAATTCTTTTGGGGTATATTGATGTGTTAGGCTGATTTGTCGATCATTTTTAGTTCCATTTTAAAAGAGTTAGAGTTAGGGTTCTTGGGTGAAGAAGAGAAGAAGAGAGAAAGAAGAGAAGAAGAAGAGGAGATCAAGGAGTTTCCGACAAAGATCGTTGAGGAAATCGTCGGGGGTGATCCCTACTAGGTATGTGAGTAGTTAGTGTGGGTTGATTCCTTTTCCCCCACACACCAAGCCCCTTTTATTTTGAGAAAAGATTGGTTGTGTTGTTTGGAGTTGTTGGTTGTGTTGTTGATGTTGTTGTTGGTATTGTTGAAGTCCCTTGTGATTTGGGACATGTTTTCGGTTGTGTTTTGAGTTGTAATCCATGGTATGTTGAGGGATATGATGATCCTTAGTGTTTGGGGTGGAAGCCCTTGAAGTAAGGGTGGTTTTGAATTGGCAAAACAAGAGAGAAAAGTCGAGTTTCTGGGCAAAGGGGTTGGCGCGTCGCGCCCGCCAGCGCGCCCCAAAGGGGATTCTGAAGCCCAGCCCTTGGGGCAGCGTGCCTCTCAGAGTGCCAGCAGGCCCCCTCTGAAGTTTTGGGGCT